TCAAAAATGTATGTGTCAATAAGATAGAAACAATAGAGACGATACACAAGTTTGAACACTCAATTATTTGGACCAATACACTTCTGAAACAAAAATAATTCTCTCACAAAATGCAAATAATTACCCAATTTTCTATCAAATTTGGACTCCAAAACTCCGGAAGCTCAAGTCCTTCCCACCTATTCCAAAAATTATTGAAAGAAGATTTGAGAAATCGTCGTTGATCTGAATCTGAAACAAAATATGAATGATTTTATAGATTGAATGTTTGTTAAAATAAGAAATCTATAGGATTGGCACATTTTAAAACACACGATCAATAAGCCGTAAAAACATTTGAATCTGGTACAACGTAACAAAAATACTCATATCAGAGTGCCAGACTTGTGAAGTTAAGACCAAGACAGAGAGAGAGAGAGAGAGAGAGAGAGAGAATAAAATTTGTGATGAAGCGATAAAAAATTGATTGTGACATTGATACGTGTAAACAAGGAGTGAATTTTTGTAATTACATGCATAAGAGAAAAATAAAATTGTAAATGACAATTGTATTAGCCTTAGTAAATCAGATTATTTCCTAAATTTCGGGAGTGGGGATGGTTCACACCCAGCTTTAGGAACATCAATATTTCATATACTGATCTTGCACATACTATTATGGAATCAATCCTAGATCAATATAATTTGTGTAAGATTCGTTTTTAGTTAGAAACTATACAATGTTCCTGACAAAATGTAATTTAATTTTCTTTCTTTATCAAGGATGGGTATCTGACCACGAACTTCTTGGAAATCTTTGTACCAATTTTCACAATGCAAAATACGAACAAAATAAAAATATTTACATACGTGTACTTTTCTAAAATGAAAATTATTAATGTAAAAATAAAGAAGAATTTCAAATATATAACATAAATATGACCCTAAAATTTACAGGCAATGGGATCGTTCGCCCATGAGGAAGATTAAGCATTTACTTATGTTTGGTCGTACCAATACAGAACACAAAGTATTAATCACGAAAACAAGGCATGATGAACCAAGTGAATTCTGAAGGAACTAGATTTTACCTTTTCTTTGAGATGTCCCATTTCTGTTTTCGCCACTGCATGCATGAAGATGGAGGCCAAGAATTAGTAAGAAAGCAAATTGAAGCTTCATGTTGAATTGCTTAATGTCCTCAATTGTAGATGTTACTTATCGCCACTTATTTATAGTATTTAGACGCTAATTATTAAGATTTACTTTCTTGATAAGACAGATTATTTTAGATGTTTTGTTTCATAAAATTGATAGAGTGGGATGGGAGTTGAAAAGTACATTTAATTATTTTTTGTGATGATAATTTATTTAAAATGACAAACATTAAGTTCGTGTACCTATCTCATGAGTTTTGATCCGGTAATTAAATTGCACTGGATGTGTATATAATGTAGCTTTCATTATGTTACTCTAATCGATACATTTCCGGTTCTTATCAAAAATTACTTTTGGTTGAGAAAAACAACCTAGTATTATATTGTAAATACCTGTGATTTTAGCATAAATGCAAGGGTTGTTCTGAAAGTTCGAGGACAAGCGCCATAAAACTAAAACCGCTAAAGACACATATATGAATTTTACAACGGTGAATGGGCATTATCTTTTTTTATTTATTTAATAAACTATACATCGTTTGATTAATTTATTGATAAAATGTTTATGTTTTTGAAAGCAGTGGTATGTCCAGGCGCGGCGCAACCTCGGCGATTACGTTTTCTACCTAAGTGCGACTGAGAAAAAACTTCTTATATAAGCATTTGTTATCTAAAATTCTATTAATTTATTTATGTATTATGACACAATCGTATCGTTAATTTGCAATTTTTACCGTATCCTGTAAGTTCTTTGAAATGTTATCGTAAATTTATGACATACAAACAATAAAGGGGTTGTAATGTCGTCAGAAAGGAGATGGGCTTCTTATTCTCATAGTATAATGACAAAAATTGTTTACATTGCAAACAATTGCAAATAATAAGCACGCGAAGCTTTAAAAAAAATTAATGATTTTTCAATTATTAATAATTTTCTTACAACTACATGTATATGTAGACATCCAAAATATATTCTATACAATTTTTGCACTTGCAATATATTCAGCAATTTCTCTAATCATCTCTGAGAAGAAAGAAAGATTTATAGAAATATGATTTTTTTTTTTTGCTTTCAACTGTGCATGCTTAACACAATATTTATTTATCCGTTTAATATTAATTCTGTCAGAATTGTTATTTCTCTATTATCTAGGTTAGTCTTCTGTAAATTTCAATATATTTATGAAATTCGGGGTTCCCTAAAGTTTTGTCCTTTTAGAATAATAAAACTTAATGACCTCAATCTTTACTTTAAAAAAAGTTACGCCAAACACTTAAACATCTTTTTACATGTATATCGCTCATTAAGTTTAGATAATTTAAGTAATCACAAATTCATTAAAGGAGTAAGAAACCATTACCTAGAAGTAACTTTAACTACTTATCATAAACCTCACTGATAAGCATACATAAATAACAATGCTAAAATTATTCTGATTTTATTTCTGAAATTAGAATTACACACAACAACGGCGCGACCGATCTCCGCCACATAGCCCTCTCAGAAATTCTCCACCACAGTAGTCCGAAGTACTTTGGCATGTTCCCCTTCTCAACCAGCATGGTATATCCGCCCCTGTCAACAACAAAAACTATATACATATTTAAATTTATAAATACAAACTGTAGGTTATAATGTCAGTTTTCCCTGATGACTAGGATATTGCTTATACGAATTCTTAAGCATATATTAACCCATTTAAAAAAATAAATAAAAAAACATTGATTTTTTAAAAACTATTATACTATGATGTATATGCCGGTATTTTAAAGATGTCATGAACATTTATAAGAGACCAAAGTCCTCCAATGCATTTTAATATGAAACAAATTAATGATAAATCTTGCTTAAATAAAGAATGTCTTGCATGCATTTTTTTTTTTACAAAAAAGCCCCGTTTAAGTAAAAGATATATTTATGTCCGTGTTGAAATAACCTTTTTTGCTTACCTATAACACAACATTGTCTATTAGTTGGTCCGGCACAATATCCTGGTTTGAATTTGATACAAGCTTCCGATGTATATTGACATGTACCATTTAAGGACCAGCATCGAGAATCACCTCCTTAAGTGTCAAAAAAAACATGTAGACAACTATGCATACAAAAAAATTATTGATTTAAAGATTTTATTTTTCATAATACACACGTTAAAATTGAAGATTTCTTTTTGCTGACGATAGCAGGGTAGCCTTAAGCCTTACCTTCTACAGTGAGAATCCCGTGAGGATCCGGGTTAGAATAGGTCCTCAGTACCCCCTTGCTTGTCGTAAGAGGCGACTAAATGGGGCGGTCTTTCGGATGAGACCGTATAAACCGAGGCCCCGTGTCACAGCAGGTGTGGCACGATAAAGATCCCTCCCTGTTCAATGGCCCTGAGTGCCGAGCATAGGCCCACATTTTCAGCCCTTCACCTGCAATGGTGACGCCTCCATATCAGTGAAATATTCTGAAGAGGGACGTTAAACAGTATTCAATCAATCAATCAATCTACAGTGAGAGGACCAGGGTTGTTGACAAGAAGAATAAACAGAAGATACGTTACAGCGGACTTGTTCTTTAATATCATACTGAACTCGTACTCTGAACTTATTTTATCGAGTAGCCGTATCTTCAATTTATACATTAGGAACAACACGACGACCTTGATGTGTAAAAATTACATAATTGATGACAGGATAATTAATGTCTCGTAAAATTAGAACTATTTCACAATATGTTTTCTGATTTTCAATTATGCTGATTTTGTTGTTTTTGCTTCAGGAAAAATCAAAATGTTGCATTTGACATTACTCAATCCATATGTTTCCATATTTATTTATTTGATGATACACATCAATATATATCAGACAAGTCTAGTGCTGCTAGGCTGTAATGCAATAAAACATACATAATTATTTGAAATTAATTAATTAATTTGGCCCTGGGCAATTATCTCACATACAGCATAGTTACCATAGATACTATATTTTTTTCTTAATACATAATATAATTACGATAAAGTTTAATTAAGATGCTGTGATTAAGAGTTTTATAAGCTTAGTGACCCAACTCAAATATCTTGCTAGGAAATTAAAACATTTATACGAGGGCTGTTCATTAAATAATGTCCTGGGAGCTCGGAAAGAAACAAAATACGCTTTCAATCTCTTTTAATTAGAAGACATGTCCGTAACATTTTTTATCCGATTTCTGATTGTTTTAGAACCCATTTTTGGGTATGACTCTTAGTATACTGGAAAATGGCAGATCCAATGATTTCCTGGACTTGTTTCTACCTTCTGAAAGGTATTTTTTCAAGTTTGGAAATAGAAACAAGTCAAAAGGTCAAAGATCTGGCGAATATTGTTAATGTAAAAAAAACATTAACTTTCTGTATATCACGAAAACACCTTTACTCTTCAGGGCGTGCGGGTTTGGACACTGTCATGAAGAAATTCATTGTAGTGGATTTCTGATTCTGGGTCCTTCCTCTAATAAACATTTTCAATTTTTTTGCAAAAAATTTGCCTTCTAGCCTTCTCCAGAAATTAAACTGTCTCCCTGAATACGAATTTTAACAACAATACCACTAATATTTAAGAAAATTGCATATAAATCTGTCTTTGTGCTCTTGCAATTCTTTGCTCTTGTCAGACATTCGCTGTTTTTATCAAGTACATCTTTTGGTAAATTTTGTTTGGAGAGTTTTAAGGAATAGATTCAAGTTCCATTGTTTGTTTGAATATCAAACAAACGTGGATAAGTACAATTACTGATATTTTAAAATAATTTTAAGACATTCGTACACGCTGTGGTTTTCACTCATTTTTCAAAATATAGGTTGACCTTTGGGTAATAAGCTTTTTTACCGTCAAACGTTTCTTAAAAACAGTGTAAACTACTCCCAAAATGATGTCTATCAAATTTGCTATGTGTCTTAAAGTCAATCATATACCAACAAATTTTATTTGTTGAAATTTGGCAAACAATACATAAGTTGTAATATTTTTTTGTTGGCAAGGACGGTATTTATTTTTTGATGCCCATTAAATACATTTTTATCATTGAAATCCACCTGCTCATTTGTCTATAAAACAGGCATTGGTTGCTGTAATTCTTACATATTTCAGTGAATATTTTTTGGGGATTTTTAACAAGTTTTACAACAGTTTTAATGACGCTTTTATTTTCACTCTAGTTTACTTATTCTTTACCATTGATTTATAATGCAGTGTCTCGAATAACCCTTGTTTTCCAGCTTCTCACAATGACACTATGTGATGAGAAGTGGTCACATAAACTGTTATGAATTCATTAAAGATAAAATAATGAGAGAAAGTCAAGCTCAAAGTCATATGATATCTGTATTGTATGTCATACAGTTCAAGACGTTATTTATTGAACAGCTCTCGTGAGCAGTATAGTCAAAACCCATGTATTTTTTACTGTTCAAATGTGTACTGCATTCCTAACAAAATAAATCTTTGCAGAAATATACATTATTAAGAAAAAAACACATAATAATATGATACCTATTATCAAAAACCTCCAAAATAAATCTTATTTTGAAAAATACAAATAGATCGATACATGCAAAAACCGGAAACGTGGGTGGAAAACAAGTACATGTTTTTTTCTAAAATTGAATAATAAATATGTACGAACAGATTAATATATCAGGAGTGTATGGTCATCTGTGTTCTGTAAATAATGAAAAATGTGAAGAAAACTATCAGCTATTGGTCTAAAACAAACCCTACAAACAATAGTGTTAATAATTCAAAATATAGTAAACGACGATATCTTGAATATCAAATTAAAATTTGAGATCCATCGTTTCTTCTTTTTTATCGAAAATATACGTATATTATATTGATTAAAAAGCATTGCATTGTATTCTCCTTCTCATATGCAAGTGAAGATTTTTCATGATAATTTCTACAGTAGTTCAAACACAGATTTGCCTATAAAGGAATGTCCATCAGGAGATGAAATACTCTGTCTCAAAAGTTGACGTAATTTTAATTCTATTTCTTCATCCTTTTGTTCATACGTAGAGCATGCTCTTGGGTATTGAATCAATTGAGATATACATGTAAATAATCTGCATGTAGGTGATGAAGGTATATTGTTGCAAAAGTAAGGGAGGTTGACGATAGAAAAAGTAAAAGTCAATGTTTATCAAATAGCCTGGTTATTAGATTACCATTAACGTCTTTTTCAAGTGAAATATAAGTCTTTTGAATAATATTCATTGATAAAATAAGTTTTCAATTTTTATGAAAAGATGGAGTTTTCCCCAACAACATATTATCAATTAATTTAGTTTTGTTAATGACCAATTACAAGATGCGAAAACTTTTAAGATCTTTTTTTACAAAAAAAGTTGTCTTTTACATATTAAAGCGCTTTGTTTTCATTTCATCTTGAAGAATGGCTGCATAAAATGTGCACATATCCTACATATTTTGATGTTAATGACTTTTGAAGCAATTGTTTTTGTAATTTTTTATAATCATTCGAATAACATATTTTGAAATATTGAAAAAAAAAACAGGTACATATTTGTTCTTTTAGTTTAACTCGGGTAAAGTTAGAGAATTGCAGCTTTTGAAGAAACAGTAAATATATTCTACCTGTAATACACAGATAGTCTCAAATGAGGAATTTATGCAGCATTATTCTTCATAAATTATCAACCTCTACTGTTTCCAGACGCTGTAGTAAAACAATTAACTTTAATTTACACTAGCAATAATTATGTAAACTTGTATTGATTCTTTCAGTGTGATGTTACAATGTTATATTTACCTTAAATTATTTTTAAATTAAATGAAACCACCTGTAACTGTCTCGTCTAAAAATGGGCAAACAATTTCATAGTGTCTGTCAACACATTTAACCTTGGAAAACAATCTAAATTGTCAGACAATGAGGATGTATTTACTCGTTTGTTTTAGAAAGGAGAAAGGATTTTTTTTTTTGGAAACTCTTAAAAGCTTTACAACGCCTTTCATCTAAATCGTTTGAGACAATCAAATATAATTTATGAGAACACGCCTTTAATTTTTGAAGTATTTAGATTGCAATTACCTTGTCTAAGGAGTGATTTGAATTTAGATTCGCCTTTTCTTGTTTTCAGGCGGTAGAATATTTACTAAAGTGGTAAATGATACTTCAGAAAATATAGAATTAATACGCAAGTAATATCTTGAAAACATATTATTGTCTTCAGTGGGAAAATCCTTTTACTATTCAATTGACTTTAAGCGTCTGGATTGCTTTGAAGCTGCAAAGTGTATTTTGCATCTTTTCGTTTTGAATACTAATTTTATCAATGAATATGACGTCATCTATAAAATTTATTAAAAGCATCTGCGAAAAATCAATAAGTTAATAGTTTGGTTAAAAAATTGAATGTTATAATATTGATTATAACTCAAAAAAGTTTTTAAATTCTTAAATAGGTTCTTAAATTTATTATACCTCACGCAACAAGTTGCGTGAAGTATAATGTTTTTGACCCGTCCGTCAGATTGTCAGTCAGTTAGTCAGTTCATCTGCCCTGTTTTTCGTCAGCGCAACTCCTCATAAACCGCTGCACAGAATTTCCTCAAACTTTGCAGGTATTAAGGAAACAATGTGTAGTTGTACATATAACCAGGAAATTCTTATTCCTTTGTTTCCGGGATTTTCAGCACTTTGAGCTATGAGGAAGCGTGGGGTATTTGAGCATGTTCACTTAAGCTTTTTTTTCATTTCTTATAGCTTAATTCTTGAAATTAGATCTACTATTAAAGAACTTTTACTTGTCTGAATGTAAAATACCAATGCGTGAAAGTTATTGTTCTTTGCAAAAATATCGGTAAATGTGAATAGAAAACTAAAAATTATGACAATTCTCTTCAATTTGAAAAAAAACGATTTATTTAACAATTAAACATTATGACCAAAATTATTTTTATGGATAGAAAACAGCAATTCTAATATGCGACTTTGAAAAAAAAAAAACAAATTGTTTTCATAACAGAAGTTACGTCCCTATCCATATATTTAAGGAATAACTCTTATTTTTCGATTTTTATGATGTGATCAATTGATTGGCTTGAGTGATAATTTGCATAAACGCCGAAGGCGTTTATGCATAAAATTATCACGCAAGCCAATCGATTGTTCATCGTCATGAAATTGACAAATAAGACAGTTATTCCTTATATTTACATGTTTTTTCCGCCA